TCAGACAAGGCCAGTCGTCGGCCTAGGGCCCCAGCAGCGGCTTCGCGGACACGCCAATCCTTATCCTCGAGCCTTGCTGCTACAGCCTTAAGAATCTCATCAGACAAGGCCAGTCGTTGGCCTAGGGCCCCAGCAGCGGCTTTGCGGACACGCCAATCCTTATCCTCGAGCCTTGCTACTATAGCGCCAAGGATTTCTTTAGGCAAGACTGATTTTTCGCCCAAGACCGTAATAGCGCCTGTTCGAACAAACCAAACCTTTTCTTCAAGCCTCGCTGCTATAGCCCAGGGAATCCCATCAGGTAAGGTCAACTGCCGCAGGACCACGATGGCAGCTTCTCGCGTGCTAGTGTCCATGTGCCCTATCCAGGAGACTGCCTGTTTAATGATGCTCGCTGGAGCAGTGGCCCGTTTTGTTATCGATCTTAATATTTTCAATTTGATGTTATCGGACCCTTCCCGAAAGGTAGTATCCAATACCCGCTCGGGAAATTCTACCTCTCTTGCTAGGAATGGGCGATAATTTTGCCCGAATTCGCATTCGAATAGTAACCAATTGGAAAGCCGTTGTTCTAGGTGGGCTCGAACTGGTAAGTTACTCGATACTTCGCTCAAGCAATGCATGACTAGCCGTTGATGCGCAGGGCCTAAGAGGTCGAGTGGCTCCTCCTCGATTTTCTGGAAAAAGAGGGATATTTCTTCCGGCTTGGCGTCAAGTAATCCGGCAACAAAGCGCCACAGGATATCGTAGCGGGCTGTGTATTTGTGCTCCTGAAAGAATTTGATAGGCTCGGTCTTGTTAGTCTTTCTACTGCCGAGTTCCACGCAGCTGAGAGGTGCCCTAGCAGTCCAATGCCGTACAAAATACCGCGCGGCGAAGTATTCCTGAAAGGTCAGGTGTATAAAGTGATAGCTTCGGTAGCGGTATTCCGATGACGGGTTTGAGGTTCGTAAAAATGACAGGGATGGGGCTGTCTTGTCTAGCAAGAAATCCGAGAAGCGGTCGGATATGAAGTTCAAATGCTTCGGTTCAAATTCTATTATATCATTACAAAGCCCAGCAAAGGCAAGACTCTCAAGAAAAGCGATCTCATCTTTAACAAATTCTTCGATCTTTTGCCGACTTGCATTTTGGATATGGCACAATGTTACTAGACCATGGTTATGTGTTTTCTCTAGTCTCACAATGTCTTTTTTCCACAAGCTAAGTTCTATAGCTTGGTAAAGGGCAGTCATCGTCTCCGGCATGTCGCTGCGAATATCAATCCAAGAGTAGCAAAGTGCATCCAGCTGAATTGGAATGCGTGCAAGGCCTTGAATGAGCCAGTGATCTTGAAGGAAAGACTGGATTTTGCCAACCGTTTTCTCGTCAACCTCGGTTGTTTTTGGATTGGTAAAGGCGTTCTTGATGTATTCCTTGACTTGGTTGGGGTAAAATCCGATCGCTTCCAATTCAAGATCAAGGTTAAGTGGTAACCTGCCAGATGGCCGGGAAGTAATAATGATGTTAGGCTGCTCTAAAAGCTCGTTAAGGAAGCGAGACAGACTGTTGTTGCTGGCTAAGTCTTGTGACACTTCATCCAGGCCATCAAGGAGGAACAGGGTCTTGGCACTGTTAGTCTCTAAAGAGCGGGCCAATTGTTTAGCGAAATCCGGTTTATTGTTCGGCAGAGAGAAATATTCATGAGTGAGGAGAGCTTCAAAGTCATATGCCGGTTGTTGGCGTCTTTCTTCGAGCTTCAGGTTCCGAAGAGGCACCCAAAGGATGCGGTCAAACAAGTTATTCCATTCATTCCATGTACCTTGAGTAAACTCATGGACGATCTTTTTGCATAAGGTGGTCTTACCAACCCCCGCGCGTCCTCGAATCAAGATTCTTCTTGGCTGTATCATTTGGCCAGCGCGTCCTCGGCGTTTGTTGAAAATTGTTGCCAACTCAACCTTGACAGCGGTATCTGGCGTCTCAATCTTCTGTCGATTGAAGATGGAAAACGGTGAGGACTTTGCGTCTATTGCCTTTGAGCGATCTGAGTCTTGGCCACTCTGTTCTACAACGGCAAGATTGATATAGCACTGATCCATCGGCAATTGGTCGCCAGAGAGTCGTTCAATCTTGAGCCTATCTACAGCATAATGCTTATCGCGTATCCATGCGTCTGCGTCGTCGAGCGGGGAATTTGTACGTATGCCCTGAAGAATCTCTTCAATTTTTCCAACAACACATTGATAGTCTGGATCTTCAGGGCTGTTGAACTTGTTCATCATTACATGGCGTCGATTGAGTGGCAGCGGGTCGGTGACAATATCTAGAGTTGCTGAAGAGCTATCAACAAGCTATCAGGTATTAGCATTATTGTCTGCTTACCACGAAACTAGCATAAGGAAAAGAATTGGATCGCCGAGAATCTATAGTACTCACTGGCTTGGGCGGAACAGCTAGATTAAGCACCCAGGCTGGAATCAACCAGCTCAGAGGAAATTTACGATGAAGACTCGTTAAGCCAGTTTCATAGAAAGCAAACACTTGGTAGGGATAATCTTTATCTTGACACAGCTGAGTGAACTTGCGCACAAGTTCCTCAAGGTGGAAAGTCGATCCCTTGACGTCGTCCAGGAGGTTGCTCACTTTTTGGCCTCGCATCGACGCCCAGGCCCTCAGACCAGGCTCTGCCCAGTTTGCTACATCTTGGAACGAAGTTCCGCGGAAAGGGGTAGCAAGGAAGACAATTCCACGTGTCGATCGTCTAACAGCAGTATATTCGCTTGAAGAATGGCCAGCGATGACGAGAGCCTTGATTAGAATGATACCTCCGAGACACGATGCAATAAAGACAATCGGCCGGTCTCTCCCCTTAGCGGAGCCAGTCTTTGTTGGCAACGGACGTCGTTTGATTCCGGCGAGCAAGAGCCGGGCGAACTCGTCTGCTGTTTTCTGGATCAAATCTGGCTGTTCAAGGAGATCTGCTGGCCAGTCACACGTGAAGATCCGTGCCGGTCCTATTCTTTCTGGAAGCATACGTGGACATGCCAGCCAGTTGACATCCTCGTCGGGATAGCATGATTTTGAAATCCAAGTGTCTGGGGATTTCGTGTCCAGGCCGTGGATGGCAATGATATCGATGTCTGTATCGGCGTCGGCGTCGGGGGAAGGGTGGATTTGGGTAAGACTAACACCGCGGTTGTACGCCATTTCTGATGGCGAGCCAGCCCGACGTCTGGCGCCTACAGCAGTCTAGATAAACATTGACCAGTAACACTTTGCCAGTATAGAGTAAAAACCCAGAGCAATACGGAATAGTGAAAGGAGCCACGGACGAAGATACTGTTGAGAATACACACACAGACAAATGGGAGTCCTGCGGGGAAATTTCAGGCAGGAACACCTCCAGCACGCAACGCGAGGATTGATTGGCGGGAACGGTGCAGTTGTGGACGGCGATGCAAGCTCCAATAACGTCACATTCTTCCTGCGGGCTCTTATTAGGCATAATCGTAGGTATATTCTGCGTGGGCCAAACACCTCAACTTGCAAAAAGCAGTCTCATTAGCAATGTGGTGAGTGCTCTTTAACTCAGATATCGTGATCAATCTATCATATATATTTCGTAATAGGATTTGGCTATATTGGCTCAACATCTGCTACTTGCGAACATTTTTGTTCTGGAGATGGGAATGGGTTTTACGATGGCAACACTGATATATTGGCCTATTTTGCTCTTCGCCCCTCGTTTTCTACCAGCAGTTGTATTAACAGCAGATGCATCGCGACATAACCCCGGTTCCTACGACCTGAGCCGTGCTGCAAAGACCTCAGTGACTTGGCTATCCCATGTCGTCTACTACTGCCTTTCGCGGCACCATCTACGGCCATCGGTTTTACAGTATAAGAACTGCTACGTACTATGCATGATGGCACAAGTAGAGCCAGCCTCACTTATTCTAAAGAGACCCTAAAAGGATCATGGCGGAGATCGCGCCACGGGGAGGATTCTTGTGCGGTTAATTGCTAGGATCAAGCATGGGATTCATGGATACCTGTAAATGCGTGGTAGTGCTGCTCGCCCTGCAGGCAGTTGGTAGCTTGCACCAGGCTAGGCGTTGTGTTATCGCCTTGCAAGTTTTAGCGGGAAGAGGCGTTAGGATTCTGCGGCGAGACGTTGGTTTGAGTCAGGCTCTTGCTGGGAACGTGGACATGGCTCATTGACACATTCTAGACTCATATTTCCCGCTTTGAGAATGATTAAGCTGCGTGTACTATTTACGCTTATACCTACATTAGTATCTGCTTCACCAGCTCGCCTCGTCGCAAAAGTCATACGAGCACATGCTAAAGTAGCTGTAGCAGCGGTAGGTACTATGCAGCAATACTACTTGAATCCTAGCACCCGTAGCCAAACACACCCATCCTTGAATTAGTACCTAGGTACTTCCTATCATAAATCATAAGGTGCCTGTATCATCAGCGCTGCTGTTGCCCTTTCTTATCAGCGTCTCCACCCCACCCGATTCCAGCGCAACGCATCTCCAACGTCCGGGGCTGGCAGAATGCAACGCTGTGCTCCGTGCCCTTCTCCCTTCCTCGTGGCATCGCGCAGCCAGCATCAGCGGTGCGCCGTCCGCCTCTTTAGAGCCTCATTGATGCATGATGGATAATGGGCGATCGCTGCCGCTGGACTGGGCGCCATCCGAACCGTGTGGCATGGCACGCACAGGCTCCTCCCCCGCCAAAAGGACGAAGCGTGTGCTGCTCCAGGGCTGTTTTAGCACGCGCGCTAGCAGCAACTACGGCGACCGAGACAGCGTCGCATCCCGCAGGCTGACTGGCATACTGTGCTCCGTACACTGATTGCATCAAGTCACATTGGATCAGATCCGGGGCTGACACTGATGCTGGAGCTGATAGCACCAGGCGCAGCGTTCGCCGCTCTGGAGCACGGTTCACCAGCCAGCGCCACTGATGTGCCATGGCTTACCGCTATCTCTCTATCTCTCTATGCTGCAGCACATGATTCTAGGCCTATCTCTTCGATCCATCCCACGCCTCACTCAATGGTCAATCAATGTTTTGCGTCTGCGCCACCCCTTGTCTGACGTTACTCCCAGCCCGCGATAAAAAGGCACCATCGAGTTTTACTAGCCAGTTTATCCACCGATCTGTCACTGCCAACTAGCAATAGCCATTAATTGAACCAGCTCGCGCCCCCCAGAAAAGGAGCCGGATTCCTTCTTCTGCGTCAGCCGTCTTTTTCCAAACCAGCTCTGCAACTCACACACTTCGCCGCCGTTGTTGCCCCTACACTGCCTTTTCTTTCTTGCCAAATACCCCCGCCACTTCCACATGGCCCTCAGGGCTGGGATAACCTTGTAGCAGTTCTTGGTGACGACATCCACGTGCGTATGACACTGGTACCCTTTTTTTTTTTTCGAGGTTCTGCACCTGCATGGCAACTGGACCCTGGCTCTGCGAGTCGGACGATCGTGCCGAGGCGACGCCCCCCAAGATACGACTGGACTGATTCACCATCTCTCGCCTCAATTCTATACCGCGACGACAACTCTAAATACATTAACGATTGCAAGAACGGAACAGAGAAGAGCTCGTTGGCGAAAGAGAAGCAAAGGAAAGCTTTGATCGCAACAGCATCCTCGCCGCAATTCTTATCGATTGCTGGCGACCCGCCCCATCCGCTGATCAAGGGCTTCAAGCAATACAATGGCGCCGCCGCCGCAAGACATCGAGCTGAACCCTTTTGGAACATACAAGATCAAGGAGGAGTCTCTGACCCACGGGAGCTCCTACAGCATGCGGGAACCAAACTATGAGGAGAGCAAGGAGCCGCGGATGGAGCGCATCATCAACAGCTTCAGGCGTGACCCCAATTCCAAGTTCTTCCCGAGCCGGGACCTCGATGACATTGGTCCGCTGGAGAGTGTGCGGCGACACAACAATGGCTCGCCGTTTTACGATTTGCGACGAGCTGCGCTTGCGACTGCGAATTCGAACGGTTTGTCGAGGAAGCTGAAAGGGCGACACTTGCAGATGATTGCTATAGGGGGTTCAATAGGTGCGCATGCCTTTTATCGCCGCAGCCAGGTTGTGGTGAAATCGCTCAATCAACTATACCGTTATTGCCTTTGCTAACTCCATTACAGGCACCGGCTTGTTCGTGGCATCTGGTAAGGCGCTTGCCGCGGGAGGTCCTGCGTCTTTGCTCATTGCCTTTTCCATCGTCGGTGCTATGCTGTATTGCACATGTCAGGCGCTAGGAGAACTTGCAGTCATCTACCCCCTTGCCGGTTCGTTCTCATCGTGGGCGACACGTTTTCTCGATCCATCTTGGGGGTTTGCTATGGGCTGGAAGTAGGTGTTGCCCCTATTCTTGGGAGATTGTCATTCGTAAACCACTTGCTGACCATCACCGTCTTACAGCTACGCCATGCAATGGCTGACCATTCTGCCCCTGGAAATTATTGCGGCATCTCTTACTATTGGTTATTGGGATGAGAGTCTCACGAGAGCCATTTTCGTGACTATATTCCTTGCCACCATCGTCACTATCAATATGTTTGGCGTCAAAGGATATGGTGAAGCAGAGTTTACGTTCTCTCTGGTCAAGATCGTTGCTGTTATTGGCTTCATGTGAGTTTTAAGAAAGGAGTCAAAAGTCTATATCCTACTCTTCACTAACTCCTAATGCCCTTTAGTCTCCTTGGTATCGTTCTCAATCTCGGTGGAACTCCTACACAAGGATATATCGGCGGCAAGTATTGGCATGACCCTGGCGCGTTTAACAATGGCTTCAAAGGCCTCTGCAGCGTCTTTGTCACAGCCGCCTTTGCCTTTACCGGGACTGAGCTCATCGGCTTAGCCGCGGCCGAAACCGCAAACCCAAGGAAATCCCTCCCAACTGCTATCAAGCAGGTATTTTGGCGCATCAGCCTCTTCTACATCGTTGCCCTGACTCTGGTTGGACTGCTTGTGCCATACAACAACCCCATGTTGGTTGGCGCCAATAACGCGGATGCGCATGCGTCGCCCTTTGTCATTGCTATTAAAACTGCCGGTATAGAAGTTCTCCCATCGTTGATGAACGCCGTCATTCTCATAGCCGTCTTGTCTGTCGGAAACTCTGCCGTCTTCGGTTCCTCGCGAACTCTCGCCGCCCTCGCCAACCTCGGCCAGGCCCCTGAGATTCTCGGCTATGTCGACCAGAGAGGACGCCCACTCGTCGCCATCCTGGTAGCCGCAGCGTTTGGCCTCCTCGCCTTTCTGGCTGATCTCAAACAAGAAAACTCCGTCCTAGATTGGCTGCTCGCCATCTCGGGACTCTCTTCCATCCTCACCTGGGCTTCCATCTGCGTCTGTCACATCCGCTTCCGACGCACCTGGGCTGCTCGCGGCCACCACCCCAGCGACCTGCCCTTCCAATCCCAAGTCGGCGTCGCGGGCTCCTACGTCGGCCTCATTCTCAACGTCAGCGTCCTGACCGCCCAGTTCTGGGTGGGTGCTTTCCCCATCGCCACTCCGGGAAAGCCTACCACGGCGGCATTCCAGGCGGAGAACTTCTTCCTCAAGTGGATGGGCGCGCCGATTGCCCTCATTTTCTTCTTGAGCCATAAGCTTTACTATCGCACGAGCTATGTCCGCATCAAAGATATGGACATTGATACGGGAAGGAGAGATTTCAACGTTCCTATTCTTGTGCAGCAAGAGAAGGAAGAATGGGAGACTTGGCCAAAGTGGAAGAGATTCTACAAGTGGATGTGTTGAAAAAAATGACACGAGTAGAACTGTTTTCTTTTTATGGCCAAGTAATCTTCTTGCTTGTTTTCTCTGTTTTTCCCATTCTTTCTTACATCCGCATATCAATTCTTGCCGAACTCCCAACCTCTACATAAGGGAAGGCTTACAACCAGCTTCAAGGTGATCTTATCTAGCAAGGCGTTTAGGATATATCTGACCAGCAAAGGCAGAAATGTGTTTTAATATCTCTCTCTTTGCTAAACTTTTTTATATCAAATATTAAACCGTAAATAGTGCGACAAAGTCAGTTCACAAATAGTTCAAATACCAGATGCAGAATATTAACAAGTAATCAAATTCTCGCAACAACGTATATCTTGTACACTATATTTCAATGCCTCAAAATATAATCGATAGAACCAATATCTAGAGCAAGACAGCTGTTTGTGGGAATCAGACATAAAGAAGTATGGCTAGTAATAAAGTAACAGGGCGTGGTTAAAAAGAAAGGGGGTAACAAACACAGCAGGAAAAAAAAAAAAAAAATCAGCGAATCAGATAAAACAATAATCGACATAAAAGCAAGAAAAAAAAAGAATTATAAAAGAAATTGACTCATGATTCATAAGCTGCGTACTGCAGGGCATTAAATCATACATACTAGCGCCCATGGGTATCGCAAACTTTTTCCATCCTCTCCCTCCCTCACGCGCGTATACAACCGCCCTTCACCTCTCCAAATTCTCTATTTTCATAAAAGCAATATTGGTCTCTTTACAGGTCCCAGAAGGCACTCTTCTGTGTGCCGTGATTTCCTCTTCGACCGATGATCTGCTTGGGCGGCTCGGCGGCGCTGTCACCTCCAAAGATGAAGTCTCGTTGAGTACCCTTCTTGCCTCCCATGCCATCGCCAGCAATGTGAATCTTCGAATCCGGCAGCGGCTCCTTACCAGGCTGAGCCCTGTTTTCCTTCTGTGGGGCAGGTGATTCATCTGTAAGACTCCAGCTTGTGTTCATCGTCTTGATAACCTTTTGGAGACTCTCAGTGACTGGCTGGCGCGGGGCGGCGGGCATGGGAGATTCGTCCGACATGGCAAAGTGGGGATCGAAGTGTTTGCCGCGATCTTTGGTGTTGGTGATGTTGCCTAGAGCACGGCCAGCAGGTGCTTCCTCTGCCTCTCGCTCAAAGAGGTTGTTGTTGTACAGACCCTCATTACGAATAGCGCCCCTCGATTTGGTGGCGATACGTCGCTCTTCGGGAGGGAGTTCGCCATCATCTTGCATCTCGAAATGGGCCTCCGCATCGCGTCGAGCTTTGCCAACCATGGGCTTGATAGGCTCTGCGGCGCGT